CCCCCCCCCCCCCCCCCCCCCCCCCCCCCCCCAACAATCTTGTCATCTGATCTTATTGTCAGATGTGCTGGATATCATTTCCACCAGGATCCTCCCAGTACGACCACAGTTCTCCCACTGGTGGCCACTGAGCAAGTTGACTGGATGAAAAGCATCAATATCATGGAAAGGGAGAGACAGGAAGCTGACTGGCTGAATATAACTGTATCCCAGGTGTGTTTTTGCATTTCCAGGACATTCTGTCTTCACTATTGTGCATCATTCTCGTTGGTCACGCCTGTGACAGTTACAAAGTTGTACAACCAGTTCAATGTAAACTGTGGCCAAGAGCTCCCAATCTTTTATGTGCACTAACACGACATTGATATTTTAAACACTATTTCAAGATGTGCGTTTGTTTGTTTGTCTGTTTGTTTCGAAGTTATCCTGAGCACAGAGCATAATTATTTTTTAACTGATGATTACTGTTGCTGAGAGGACGGCCGCCAATTTATAATCCACTCTAATTCAGTTCATTTCAGTGATGCAAAAGCAGGCGGTGAGTCAGATTAGAGGGATGTGTGTCATGTAGTTTACAGTTTGCTGTAACGCCACAGTCCTGTTACACAGAGAGGGACTGCTCCTCCGCTGGTTTGACTCACAACACTGTTTGCTGTACAGTAACTGTCTGACCTGCATTAATAAATCTCAGTTTTTCTGTTCATGCACTTGGAGCTTTTATTGACAACATACAAAGGAAGTTTCCAGATTCATGACATCCTGTCCTTATTGTCAAGTGACACAACTTGAGGCACAACACGAAACGTAACAATACATGTGGTTTTATCTAACACTTGAGAAACTGGGGGTCAAATACTGTTAAGAAATAGACTTACTACTGTAGAAAGCTTTTTGGAAAAATACAACAGGCATTGGAATAAATACACTGAAAACATTTATGAGAGTTTGGTACAAGCACTGTTGGTGTCTGTGGAGCACATACAGAGTACAAACTTTTCCAGAGGCCTCCACTACAAAGCAGGATTTGGAGTTAGCAAGGTAACTCCTGGGTTGACTCTGGAATTCACTACTACGAAGCTGGTTCTCTTTATCAGGATAAATCACCATGGTAACTGATGCTAAACAGCTAACCTTCTCCAAAGCAGGTTAACTTCAGAGTATCGGATCACAGCCTATCAACACCCTTACCTCTGACCAATCAGATCACTGAAGAAAAAAGTATCCATGGACAAAAGTCTGGAGTGACAGGTTAAAAAAAGAGGAGCCTATATAGTGTTAAAGGTCATTTCATTGTTCCAAGGCTCTACAACACTAAACACATGATTTTAGGAGGATTTTAACTTGTGAAAAGTTTATATTAGTCCACAGTGACGGTGCTGCTACTTTTACACTCTGATTCCATCACTGCAGCTCAAAATAATGACATACCTGTGTCATGAGAACTGAAAAAAAGATAATATTTTATTAGTAAAATAATCCACACTGTTAATTGGCTCCTGTTATTATAAATGCAACTTCTCGGTCAGATAGACGTCATCAGTCATTCACTAGGATACTTTTCCACCCTTCATTGCAGTAGCAGAAACACTGACATCACTTTAAAGTGTTTTACTTAACATATTAAAAGTAGTTTCATCATCACCCAACAAAAGGGCAACAAATACTCAATACTATGTCACTTATAGTCCAGTGATACCTACACGTAATTTAAGACTCAGCCAACAGTGACTTTTTAGATAGTATTTTCAATATCTCTATATTTCCATTATAAAATAACAGAGTATCATTTACATCCCCCATCAGTGACATTTTACTGTCTCGTTGCAGGCCAGTTTTTCGCTCATGGCTGGATAGGAAAACCCAGAGTTGACGGAATTATTTGATAACCAGGTTTGTAGTACCGGTTATCCAGACGGCCAATGTTAGGGCTTTGTCAAGCCAGGTAACGAAAATATATCCTGGGTAAGCTGAACTAGCTTTGTAGTGCAGGCCTCTGGATGCATAATGTTCAGCAGCTACTGCAACACGCCACTGCTCAAAAGTTTGGAATCACCTAATACATTTATGTTTTTCATCTTTCCTTCAATAATGGCTTTTTTAACATACATAAAAAAACATGATCATTTAAACACCAGAAGAAAGAGAGTTAAATGATTGTACAATGTTTTGTGTTCTGTGGACAAAAAGAAACCCTCCGTACGGATAACATGTATTTGTAAAGACGACTTTCTACAACCTAAAAGCATAAAGAAAAGACCATATAAACACACAGAGCATTCCTCTGACTGTAGCCAGTCGAGCTTTTGTGGCAGAAAATCCAAACTTTCAAACAATACTGTCAATATGAACTGCTTTGTATAATTCTTTACAATATTATAAAGTCTCAGTTTCAGTTAAATCAGATTTGGATATATGTAATCAGCTGTATAACCTTTCCATACATGCACTAATGTGGCAGGAAAAACTTGATTAGTAGAGAAAGGCCCCAAGATACCATGTGTGGCAGTTACATATATTATACAACAACAAAACTGATTCAGGTAATAAAAATGAGACATACACTGTTTGTACCTGTTTTTAAATGTTGACCACCTGTCACAACTACACGGCTTCCATCTTGGATCTGACCTGCTGGACGGTGGGTCATTTTGAGGAACATTTTATAAACATCTGCTGTGCTTATTCTTACTATTCTTTGGTTTCAATGTTGCTGAATCGTTCACTGAGGTCATCGAAGTAACTGTCGGCAGCACGAAGCATCTGGATAATGGCAGTGAGCAGCAGGATGTCACAGTGCAGGTCCAGTTCCAACTCTTTGCTGTAGTTCTTCACCGGAATGACGCAGGACATCGGCACACCGAGTCGAGCGCTGACCTCCTGCATCTGGATCACAGAAGCAACGCAAAGAAGGTAGTTTATACTTTTTAACACCACAAGACAAAAAAATGAAGTAATTTAAGTCACTTTTTTTTTCCTTTGGTCCATCTTTGGTGTTACATTTGTGTGTTTCTGTAGGTTATAACTCCACATTACAATTCAACAAGAATGTTACTGTATACCTGAGGTTACTGTACACAAGAGAAGAACACTGAATAATATGACAAAAACTAAGTTAAATGAGATTCAGATGGCATGTTCATGTGGCCTATATCCTTCCACCAAGGGCACAACTAAGAATCAAAAATTCAAACATTTCTTTGTTTGAATAAAATCCTACTCTATTCTCACCAGTTCCTCGATGTAGCCGCTCCTATAAATGTTCCTGATGTCCTGTGAAACAAAGGGACAGGCTTCATCCACTTTAGTCATCAGGACCAGCTGAGGAATCCCTGGAAATAAACAAAAAAAGTTCAAATTCTAACATCTGCACATCTACTGTACTGTACTGCAGTTTGTCTAGTTACTATGCTACTGTTCCATTTCCAGTTTGTATAGTCAGACAATACAATGTACACTCTCCATAAATGACAGACAAAAAAACCAGAGAGAAAATAAAATAAAAATAAATAGAAACAAATAGAATAATAGTAATAATTATAATGACAATTAATTTTCCTCTTCTTTCAATTCACCTACTGGCAACCATTAAGAGAATTACTGTAAATCAGTTAAAATTAGGGATATCCCGATCACATTTTTTTTGCATCTGATCCGATACCGAGTCCTTTATTTTAAAACCGAGTCCGATACCGAGTCCGATCCGATACTTTGCAAAGCATTAAGAAAGAAAAAAAGAAGAAAGCATCCAAGTTGACCCATAAGGTTTGTTTTTTATTTAAATAGTATCCAAAAAGCTTATTGGTGGTTCAGCAGCACAAATTGTAAACAAATTCTGAATTGTAAACAAATTGTGCCTCCAGAGTTGCCATAGGGCTGTGGTAGGCAAGGTTCCACCGTTAAGGCCCATTTATGCTCAACGTTAAATACGGATCCAGATACGGACGGAGCCTTCTGTCCGTGCTCCACGTTCATTTCGTCCGTATTTCTGCACGTTTCCATAAAGCTTACGGATACAGGCCAAACGGAGCAGTACCACCGGGAACCGTGGAGGCAGTGTTGCTGTCACTACCCGATACGTAGCTCTGGTGAGACACGAAGAAGAAATAACAATTCAATATATCTCATCGGCAGTACTAAAGAAAAGAATTCTCCGTCCTCCAGTCGCGATGTATTTAACGGCCTCACCGACCACCGCCTCCTACAACGCTGCCTCTGTTTTTGTCTTTTATGCAAGAGGTACATTATCAATATCTCCTCCACAGTCGCCATGTTTGTTTTTGAGTTTGTTGTTGTCATAAACTTTTGATGCTGGGCTGCCTCCTGGTGGATATATTGGTTAACACCCATGCCAACGTAAAGGGCGCATGGAAGTATGTGGGCAGTGACGGTAACATCGTTTGAAACGGACGTACACATTTTCATACATAAAGGGAGCATAAATGGGCCTTTAGGTGTGGCTGTGCTGCCCGGAATAATGAGAGAAGCGGTGGCCGCTGAACCTGTTGTCTCGACTCCTGTCCGTTTATTGCTCATTAGCTGCACTCAGTTAGGCGAACCCAGGACGCCTGGTTACAATACATTGGAAAGCAGAGTCAGCAATGAACAACATAGATGAAAAACCTGGCCATTTTTGTTGTTTTGATTCCTCCGATCTTTTATTACTGATTCCGATTTTGTAAAAATAACGTGATCGGTGCCGATACCCAGTCCGATCGGCACCGATCACGATCACTGATCACTGATCACTGATCACTGTGTCAACATTTCAGTCATGGGTAGCGCACTTGTGGTGAGTCCATAATATGGAAGAAATAACATGCAACTTGAGACTCCAGAGGAAGACATTCTTGAGAAGGTGGAGTCCTGCTTTGTCAGTTATAACACAAGGAACATGCCACCCACCCCCCTTTTATCAGTTTTATAATTTTTTTTTTTTTTTTTCTATTTTTCTCTCTTATCTCTCGTTTTTTTTTCCTTTTATCTATCATTTATGGACAGCGTACATTGTATTGTTTGACTATTTGTATGTTGGTCTTGGTTAGACTGGGCTAAATGTCTTTGAATCAATTAAGAATTAGTTTTAAAAAATGTTTTAATTTAGCTTTCTAATGTTTTGTTATAGAAGATATGTGTATGCAGAATATATGGTGGGAAAAAAAGCAGTGTGCACAACTCCATAATCTTGAACAATACATGGGGTTCATGGTTGTGGCTTCATAGCTGAAATGTGTTTGTTTCACTCACATTATATAAGTAAATATATCATTGACTGCTGGAGTTCTGTTTGTTATTGGATATGTGTATGCAGCCATCTGTCATACAGTATGTTCTGTACATTAACATTAGTGTGAAATGCTGTACTATAGTTAAGTTCTTACACGTTTTAATAGTTTGTGAATGTCAAACAACATGGTGTTCAAAATATTTGTATCATTCATGTACCATACACATGAATTTATACTGTTACAGGAACAAAATTAATTACTTTTTGTATAGTTCATGACTCTTATCAGATCACATTTAACTCAGTGAGGTTTGGTGATGCAGCAATACCAATACTACCATGTGGGACTCATTTTTACAGACCCATTAAGTTGACCTTTCTGCGGATAGTTTCCAGTTTGTGCTCCAGTTTTTCGGGCATGATGGAGACCTTGCAGGCATCGATGACGTAGGCCACACAATGGATCTTGTCCTTGAGACCTGGGGACTTCTGATAGCCGCTGGCTTCGTGATGCAGAGGAGCAGAGGGGTTGAACTGAGTCATATGGGTGAAAAGAAGAGGACCATTTGAGAAAAAGAACAAAACTAAAACCAAATCAGTGCAGCTTCATCTGCTTATCATTGTGCTTAAAGGGATAGTGCATCCAAAAATGAAAATTCAGCCATTATCTACTCACCCATATGCCGATGGAGGCTCTGGTGAAGTTTTAGAGTCCTCACAACACTTACGGAGATCCGAGGGGGAAGTGGGTAGCAGCACAACTGCACGCCTAATGGCTGACGGCGACCCAGATTAAAACGTCCAAGAACACAGAATTGAAACCACAAAATATCTCCATACTGCTTGTCCGTAGTGATCCAAGTGCCCTTTTAGCCTCACTGTAGCCTGTAGCTCTAGCTGCCTCTCTGTGGACCATGCTCACGTGTGCGCGCTTGCGCGTGAGACCAGCGAAAGCATGTGAACACACATGAAGGCGGTGTCTCACGGTCTCGCGCAAGTGCACACACATCAGCACAGTGTACACAGAGGCAGTCAGAGCTACAGGCTACAGTGAGGCTAAAAACAGAGTTTAAATGACGTTTTTCCAAACAACTTTTTATGTCAGGGCTTCAGGACACTTGGATCACTATGGATGAGCAGTATGGAGATATTTTGTGGTTCAATTATGTGTTTTTGGGCGTTTTAATCTGGGTCGCCGTCAGCCATTAGGTGTGCAGTTGTGCTGCTACCCACTTCCCCCTCGGATCTCCGTAAGTGTTGTGAGGACTCTAAAACTTCACCAGAGCCTCCATCGGCATATGGGTGAGTAGATAATGGCTGAATTTTCATTTTTGGGTGCACTATCCCTTTAATGTAACCATAAGATCTACCTGATAACTGTTTGGTAGATGACCTTTGAGGATGCTGATGATATCATCAGTGTCAAGCCCCGCCCCTGTGTTTTCCTCCAATCCCATGGTATCACACAGGATGATTGGCAGAGGTTTTCCTCCTCGTCCAGCTTTCACTGAGTAGGTGCGAAACTGTCGAGAGGTAATGGATGGTGATAATTATTCATGACTCACTTCACTCACTCCACCTTTTTAAAAAGCTTGCAGGACTGGCAAAGTGTACATGACTGGCAACCACAAAGACAGCTGTTGACAGTAAGTGCAGCTATTAGCTTTGTCATCAGCACTCAAGGCCATTGAGTCGGTAGTGGACAGTGCAAGATGTAACTTTGGAAGAACTTGGTCTCTTGTTTTCTTTTTCTTTTTTGGATTCTCAGTAAACCTCATTAAACTTTTCCCTGCCTCATGAGAGTACTGTGGCTCTTCAGAGAAGGAACAGAAACACCAGACATCACACAAACTAAGTGGCCTAGGAACTGTGGTATGTTGAATAGGCCACTACACAGGTTTTTACGTTACCTGAAGGCCACCATAGGGTTTTGAACACACTTGGTAAAGGAGGTGTGAGCGTATGAGTGTTGAGTTGTATGCAATCTGCAACCTCACTGCTAGGAGCCACTAAAACCTTCACACTGCTCCATTGAGGCAAATGCTAATGTTAGCATGCTAACATGCTTAAAATGACAATGCTACTTTTCACCATCTTAGTATAGCCTTAGAATTGTGTGTTACCATGCTAACATTTGCTAATGAGCACTAAACAACAAAGAGTACAGATAAAGCTGATGGGAACTGTACATAAGAGTGCTCAGGGTGCAGAATTCAGGCCATGCTCCCTTTAATTTACAGTAATGTATCATTACCTCTAATTCCTGATTGGCTAAGGAGCACTCTATTATTAAACAGACCAATAGTTTAATGCTGACCACAAGACCCTTCCCAGTTAGTTCGATTTCTGATCTCAAAGAACAAAGATAAAATTACACCTACTGATATATTCCTATCAGACTTCCTGCAATAAATCCTAAAAAAGATAAACCTGCCTCCTGTGTTCTGACCGACACCCCGCACAGACAGTCACACAGTGTCTCCTAAGCCAGCTACTTCATATCCGTGACAGGAATGTTGTTAGCTGTGCTGGTAATTATTAGCCCACTTATTATTCATTAAACATTTATTCTGACTTGACGATGGCACGAGAGCAAGGAGGGAACATGAAGGTCTGGACACAATTCCAGGGCAATCCATCCAGTAGTCGCTGACACAAACTGATGGTGCTAGAGGAAAAGTCGGGGGATAACCAAAGTCAGCAGGGTTTATCCTCTGGGCACCATCAAAGTCTGTACCAAATTTAGTGGCAATTTGTGTAATAGTTGTTAAGATATTTCAGGCGCAATCTCGTAACCGTCTGACTTCGATTTAGCCTCTGGGGGCAACGGCCAGTACTCCGGGGGCTCCAGTGTAGCCAGCTGATAATTGAGATGTAAGAGCCGATTTGGAGCTGAGAGACATCGTCTATGGCTGGTTTATTTCACAAGTGGCCAGTTTTCACTTAGTTTTACAGCTAATAAACGTCTAGGGACGTCAGACGATAGGCGATGGTAGACGATGGGTTCTGAGATTGCATTTCGGCCAGTGCGTTGCACCTCTTTTTGCTCTCCGTTAGCATGCATGCCACCATTTTGCTTGATTGGTCAATACTACTTAGACTACAAACAGACATCCGAATACTTGTCCCCTTACCTCCAGATTTTGCATTCATAGGCAGATATCTTATTTCAGTTGTAACCAAAATGGTGGACCAACCGACCAATACCGAGCTGCTAGCATGGAATTTTCATATTATCATAGTTGTCAGGGTGGATTATTGCTGCTTATTTTTTGGATGAACAGGGGTTAAAAAACATCATTTACAATGACATAACTGTAAAGAGGTTGATGCACTGATTGCTCCAACTAGGACCCCAACTAACCTGCGTAGTGAGGCTGGTGGTAGAGCTGCCAGCGATGGCCTGGTTGCTGACATGGCCTCTAAACACAGAGTTGATAGAATTAAAGAAGCTGGACTTTCCAGCTCCAACTGGTCCGATGAGCAGAACCCGAACCTGAGACACAGAGTTGACCATGGGGCAGTAGAGCTTAATGCTGTCCATCAGCTCTGTCCTCTTCCTGAGGAAACAAGAGCAGTTTTAAAACCTCCTCAATCATAATTTCCTCAGGTCCTTTTTGAATAACATGACACAGTGCAGTACACTGTGACATATCAAAGAACAGTACAGTAGTAGCATTTATATGATGAAAAGTGGTGCCCTGTGCAGCTTACTCATTTTCCCACACCACCGGCCTCCATGGCTTCTCAAATTCTGGGATCTCTGTTGAAGAGCAAAAACAGCTTTTAGAAAACAATCAGCTTTTCAAAAAAATGTTGAAGTTATGAACCACAAATTTAAGCGAATAAATGATTAAATCTAAAAAAAAAAGCAGAGCAGTGAAGGCAGATATTGATCCTGTTCAGACCGGCTGTCTTGTATCCACATAAATCCAGACAGGTCTACTTTTACAGGGAAGTCTGGTTTCTGGTAACCAAAATGTTGGTGTTTGTTTATTGTGTTTATCCTGGCAGAACTATCACTTCGCTTCCATTGTGTCAAGTGCAACAATCCACTGTTTATGAAAGCAGGAAAAGATGAATGCTTTTGTTAATGGGCTCAGTGCTCAGTCTAAGTGTATCAGTTGCAGGACTGTGACAGGAGCAGTATTGATGAGGCATGCCTTGTGCTTGATGTGAGATACAATCTGTTTGAAACATGCTAAAAATCAATATTTGCCTGTTGGGGAGAACTCACCCTCGACTTCATAGACTTCACACTCAGTCAGGTTCAGGTCGTTGCCATGCATTTCTGCAGCACTGAAGTTGTAATAACTTCCTGGATTGCTATAGACAACTGCTTTGCTTGCATTAACAAGAACGAACGCTTCTCCAAAATATGGACCAGAGTTGGCTATCATTCTCAATGCATTAGCGGGGCCAGTAACCGGATATTTGACGAGCCTTTCTCCTCTGAAGGTGAAAAGAAAGGCCTGATTATCGTGCACGTACTGTCCAGACTGAGTGAAGGGTTGTTGGGTGTAGCCTCCAAAGACATAACCGGAGGCGTTATAGCCCACAGACAATGTGGGACAGCGGTTGTCACATCGTTGGTGGAAGGCCGGGCCAGTGAAACCATGGATGCTGGCCTTGTACAGCAGCCGTAATTTGACACTTCCCAGCTGGGAGCAGATTGTTTTCTGCTGGCTTCTGGTTAGACTGGAGTCCATGGTAGATGGTTGTTCAGCTGAAGCTTGTGCTGGTCTGGAGCCTTTAAAGTGTCTGAACACAAAACATAAACAGCTGCATTAAAGATAAATGTTAATGACCCACTGAGGTAAAGTGGACTCATTTAGTATGATTCAGGTTCCAAGTTGAGACACTAAAATGGTATAAGTTAGATGTACCTGGCATTTGAACCTGGCTTTGGAGCACATAATAGATCATATATTGACACTCACTGACCACTTTATTAGGTACACCTTGTTAGTACTGGGTTGGACCCTCTTTTAATTCTTGGTGTCATAGATTCAACAAGATGCTGGAAACATTCCTCAGAGATTTTGGTCCATATTGACATGATGATATCACGCAGACGCTGGAGATTTGTCAGCTGCACATCCTGATGAGAATCTCCCGTTCCACCACATTCCAGAGGTGCTCTATTGGATTGAGATCTGGTAACCATGGAGGCCACTGGAGTACAGTGAACCCATCGTCATGTTCAAGAAACCAGTTTGAGATGATTTGAGCTTTGTGACATGGTGCGTTATCCTGCTGGAAGTAGCCATCAGAAGATGGGTACACTGTGGTCATAAAGGGATGGACATGGTCAGCAACAATACTCAGGTAGGCTGTGGTGTTTGAACCATGCTCAGTTGGTACTAAGGGGCCCAAAGTGTGCCAAGAAAATATCCCCCACACCATTACACCACCACCACCAGCAGCCTGAACCGTTGATACAAGGCAGGATGGATCCATGCTTTCATGTTGTTTACGCCAAATTCTGACTCTACCATCTGAATGTCGCAGCAGAAATCGATACTCATCAGACCAGGCAACATTTTTCCAATCTTCTATTGTCCAGTTTTGGTGAGTCTGTGTGAAATGTAGCATCAGTTTCCTGTTGTTAGCTGACAGGAGTGGCACCTGGTGTGGTCTTCTGCTGCTGTAGCCCATCTACTTTGAGGTTCAATGTGTTGTTCATTCAGAGATGGTCTTCTGCAGACCTCTGACCTCTGGCATCAACAAGACATTTTGGCCCAGAGAACTGCAACTCACTGGATATTTTCCCTTCTCGGACCATCCTCTGTAAACCCTAGAGATTGTTGTGTGTGAAAATCCCAGTAGATCAGCAGTTTCTGAAATATTTTGGCACCAACAATCATGTCACATTCAAAGTTACTTAAATCCCCTTTCTTCCCCATTCTGATGCTCAGTTTGAACTTCAGCAGGTCGTTTCATCCATGTCTACATGCCTATATGCATTGAATTGCTGCCACATGAATGGCTGATTAGCTATTTGCATTAACGAGCAGTGAAACAGGTGTACCTAATAAAGTGGCCGGTGAGTGAATATAAAATATATGATCTTATATTGTATGATGGTCAGCAGCAAACTGTATTGAGTCTAGTGGTAGAAATACCAAATCATTTTTATAATTCCAATAATTCTGTAAGGTTCAGTGCAAGGACTGATCACTGATTATGTAGTTAACTCATGCACTTCAGTACTTACATCAGTAAGTGAACACATCACTGTTAAAATGCACTTCAGTCAGTTCAGTATTAAGATTTGTTTGTGCATGTACTGAATGTTGTCCATGCAATTTAAATAAGGGTGAAACACTTTATCATTAGTTGTGTTTTGCCCATAACAAAACACCTAATTAAGTAAAATGCAGTGGACAATTTATGCACGAGTACTCTTATAAAATAGTGTCTAATTTAAACAGTCATCACGTTACTTGCAGTTGCTTATTATAAACGCGCCGAAACTAAAGAGAGAATCTAGATTAAACTTGATAACCAAACAGTCGTCAGTTACAGATCCAGCCCTGCAGCACATGTGTATATCAGCCGTGCAAACAACTGGCACATCAGTCCTACACTATACGTAACCTGAAACACATCACAGCTGTTCCAGGAGACAGCAACTTCATATTTTAGTTTTATAAAAGATATTAAAGACGAGTATTTTAGTTTTACCTCCTTATATGAACAAAGTCAGGGAAAAGCAGCTGAATCACTTTCCAGGAAGATGAAGGTGCGCAAAGCATTGGCTGTTGTCAAGTGATGTGACGTATCCAGCCTGAATGAGACCGGAAGTATTAGGGCGTTGCCTTCAAAATAAAAGAGGCGAAACTCATATTAGCTCATGGACCACGTACAGCCCACTTTGATCTCAGACCGGTAAAACTATTGCATAATAACCTATAAATTACAACCCCTTTAAGTTTTTCCATTTTTTAGTGTAAATTACATTCTGAAAACATTCATCCGATTCTTTAAAAAAAAAAAGATGGACAGCCCACGATTTCCTAAGAAAAATATGTAGAAATTGAACAGTATGTCTCGGTTTTTCCACATTCAGTCAGTTACATGTGCATTGTTTTCATAACTTTCCACCAACGTGGAAGCTATTGACGAAGCTGTTTTGCAGCAGCAGCAGGGTTCCACTAATATTGTTTTAAGACAGAAGTCTGACACAGATTCGTTTGTACTAAAGCAGCTGGTTGACAATATTTTGCACAATGTTCAATATCCTTAAATGTGACCACAGTAAGTACTCATTGTGTTTTTTCAGAGAACTGGATTCTGGTCAGGGTGGAAAAGCCTGTGATGCATGAAGTATCTACTCACTGTTTAAATTGCTCCTGAAGCCTCTTACCCTTCACAAGTGCATCCACATGAGGTGTGCAAAGTCTTACCCTCATGGCCCATTTATTAACATCATGTCAATATTCCATTCCCATTCATTTTGTGTGTGTGTGTGTGAGCGCACAGTACTTTTGTTCCCAATTTGAACACATAATAATCATTTTATTTTGAAGGTGCTCACTGGAAGTCAAAGGCACATTTTGCTGCTTTGACTAACACAACTTTTAAGTTTCGTTTTCCCATCAACAGGATATGATGATATAACAGCAGGGCAGCGTTACCTCATGAAAAGGAAATACACGGTGTTAAATGATGTATGTGCGCAGTCCATAAATTAGGCTGTTCATTTTAAACTCATTATAAAGCTTTAAGCGGCCTCATTATTATACACAGTAGTGAAGCCTGCACTCAGGAGCCTCAGCTTCCCATTATATTTAAGCACTATTTTCAAGTTGCTTTAAAATAAGTACAGATTCAGCTTTAAGATGTGTGGGTTTTTTTTAACCTGAGCACGCCTTGTTTTTATTTATTCATTTTTTTTCCTGATGATTATTGTCACTGAAAGGACACCTGCCACTTTATAACTCTGTGCAGTTCAGTTTATTGCAATGATGCAAAAGTAGGTGGTGAGTGTGAGTGTAACCTACATGCAATCATTCTCTCTACATTATTCTCCTGTCTCCCAATTTGGTCCCTCACCACAAAGGAAACCAGTGAATTAAAAGCAAGACTTTACAACAGAGCCAACAAGAGTCATGACACCTTTCCCCCTCGGACTCACCGCTGCACTCTCACCTTCCTACGCCCTGACGTTTGGGAACTACATGAATAATCGAGCCATTAAATTTTGCTTTCAGATCAAAAACAATAAGTCCTATCCTTTAAGTGCTTTACTTCAACGTCACAACACAAGACAGACATAATAATTGCTAAATGCTACTCTTAATTGGTTTCCTGTATAAATAAATGAAAGTAAATGAAATGGGATTAATGGTCTGGCTGCTTCTCAGCTGGTCCAACTCCAACACTGTTTGCTGTACAGTAACTGTCTGACCTGTGTTAGTAAATTTCAGTTTTCTATCCTTTCATGCACTTTGAGCTTCTATGGCAATGCAGAATACTAAATAATATTAATTAATTTAGGAATCATTAATGATCTTGATCATAGGAAGATTTTCTAAGTTTTCAAATTCAACACCACATCCAGTCTGGCCAGCAAGAGCTTTTAATATCAGTGAGTTTACAACTTGAAGCACAGGCTGAATATGTCATGCAAAATAACAATAAGCACGATTATATCTGACAGAAGGAACATCTGAGAGACTAGAAAATTGTTTTCTTGACAAAAACATAAAATATTCATGAGGGAATTGGAAAATCAAACTGGAAATTCCTAAAAAACAAGTCTCATGAAAAGTTACCATACGTCAAAACACCAAATTGCAGAGTGTATAGGCCTAACCATCAGCTACAACTGAATTAAACCCAAGTGGTCAATTTCAATCATCCATGACTGACAATTTTATTGTATTTTCTTCTATTGATTAATTAACTGAGGTTTTTTTCACTGCATTGCACAGCACCATGTGCGCACCTAGCAGCTGAACACAAATCAGACTACAGGAAGCAATGCAGATGAGCTCTGATAAACTGCTCTGAACCAGCTGACTGTGACTTCAGCTTCAGTAACATGACACAAAGATAATGAAGCAAAGGTGAATAACGTCATCATGCAGTAAAGAATATATTTTAATACTTGCAGTAATATCTGATAATGTCTTTGCTTGTCAAACTTGTGATTAAATGTCCCAGTAAATCAGCCGACACTGTCATAATAACTTTTAAATGTATGAGTTATTGTTATTTGTAAAGAATTTACAGCCAGATCAGAAAGGAAATTGAACATTTCACAGCTGAGGGACACGGTCAAAATGAGGTTATTCTGGAGGCACTACATCTCCCAGCATTCCAAGGGGTGCTTGGAGAACTCAGGGGAGGAAATTCACAGTGAACTCTACAATGCAGCATCACCTGCAGGTAAATGAATGGATTATTGTGATGGACATTTCATTACAGTTGGACAAGATATAAACATCTGCTGCACAGGTACTTCCTATTCCTTGACTTCGGTGCTGCTGAGTTGGTCACTGATCTCATCAAAGTAATTGTCTGCGAAGCGAAGCATCTGCATGACAGCACTGAGCAGCAGGACGTCGCAGCTCAGGTCCAACTCCAGCTCCTCGCAGTAGTTCTTCACTGGCACAACACAGGACACTGGCACACCGAGCTGAGCGCTGACCTCCTGCATCTGGATCACAAAACATTTACATGAGAGGTTAATTTATTTTCTAAAGACCTTGTGTCAAACTTTGTGAAATTCAGGAAAAACTCCAATGTCAAATGTCTCATAAATCTTGTACATTTTATTACCTGCCACCTCACTCATGTATTGTTACTCAAGTACTTCAATAGATGTGAGTCTGATTTACCAAATAATTTTAGGGCCTTTAAGTTCCTGACGTGAGGAGGAGGAGGAAAATAAAGACTCTCAAATTGGTGTTAAAACATCTTCAGTACTTCACCAGTCAAGTACATTGAATCAGTCTGAATTAGATAACACACTAAAGCAAATAAAACAGACTTTGACTGGCTTGTTATCTTAAATCTTTCCACTGACTAATAAATAAACACACACCACAACTCTACAGTACAACAAATCCTGTTGCATTTTCTTCTTCTGTATAAAATCATCAAATCTTTTCGTATATGAAATCCTCACTATTTCCTTGATGTAGCCACTCTTGTAAATGTTTTTCACGTCCTCTTTCACCAAAGGGCAGGCTTCATCTACTTTAGTGAGCAGGACCAGCTGAGGAATTCCTGAAAACAGAGCAGAAAGAACATTTTAAAAACACTGTAGCTCTACAGGTATCAGGCTGTAAATATTGACACAATGCTTCTGAAATATTCTAAAATATTTGGTTGTAATTTAAATGCCTCCTCTATAACTTAAGGGCAGTTCTAAAATAAAATGTATATGTTTTTCTTGAACTAACTTTTCTTAGATATGGGTTAAAAGGATCCTGTGAGGAGATGCTAGTATGAAGAACGAGACTGTCTGCATGTTGAGGTGTCAAACAAACACAGGACTTTCACCCAGGTGACCAGGGTTTGTGTCCTGTATGAAACCAAAATCAGCATTGAGTTGCTTTAACTATGTGACGTAAGTGACGAATGTCACGTGAGATACATTACATTAATTATATACAAAAATCTGCTCCTGGGCTGATAATGGATCCTTAACCTACACATGTGTGAAACAGGAACCTGCTGACCCATATCTATGAGGTTGATTACACCATTTAACTGAGTGATAACTTTTGAAATGGGTGGAGTCATTAACTCTCCAGTAAGCAATAAATTGAGATTTCAGACAGTAACTAATCGCCTTTTTGCATTATCATGCGACTAGATTTCACATTCCTAAAATATGCAGTATTTCTTTGGGGATTGTTAGGACATGGTTCCGCTCCATTTGGAAAATGTTTGAGGACACTGCACGGTGCATAGATTTCATACTTCAGCTGTTTCTATAAGAAGTTGAAACCCTCATGATTTTAATAAACTTAAAACTATAGTTTGTTCCTTTTAGAAAAATATATAGTCATATAATTTTTCTATATTTGCTGAAACTGTCATTGTATTCAAACAACACTAAATGACGCAGATAATCTATGACAAAAATCATATTCCTCTGCCCACTCTATTGCCATGTAACGCTTCTAATGGCCTTACTGCATGTGAACAAAAACAACCAATGAGAGTCGAAAGGTCTCTAACGCAGCTATCAGTCATGCCAGTCATTGTTCATAAACTGAGGTCAAACTGTCAAACTAGGCAGCTCTGATGAAATATGAATCAAGATTCTGTTACTGTATTGCTTATTTATCACCTCAAATGTTTTCAGAAACATATTTTAGTGCATTGTTTAGCTGTAAAATGAGAGACCGGTCCAGCTGTTGGGAGGTGCTTGGTACTCTGTTTATCCAACATGGCAGCCAGGTCAAAAACTTTCTAATTTGACAGCTGCACAGTACACTAAAATGTTTCTGAACCCATCTGAGGCAGAATCGTGATTCATATCTGATCAGTGCAGCCTAGCTTGACAGTTTGATTGCAGTTCACTGAGTGACGGACATGCATTAGAGAATCCTCAGCTCTGATTGGCTGTTTTGAGTGTGCCACGATTCTAGCATATGCCATCAGAGGCAGTTGAAGGGGTGGGGACATGATTTTTTTTTTCCAGATTATTTATCTCACGTATTTCTTTTAGAGTGTAGTGACAGTTTCAGCAATTATGAAACAAAGTTATTTCAGTCAGGAACACTTTAAAACTTTATTTCCATTTGCAGTATTATATTTGGTGGTATGGCATCTGTTCTGGGGCCCCTCTGCCTTTCCTTGGGCCAACGCAGAAAGACTCTTCCACGCGCCTACATGGAAAGCATAAGGCGAAGAGAGAGCAAACCTCACTGCCCTTCAATGCGCTTAAATGGAAAGCATAAGGCAGGGAGAGCAGCAGCAAAGTAATCCCCTGTGTTGGCCATAACTTTTCTTCCTTTTATTTATAAAAATGTATTAACAATATAGTCAAAGAAACATGTTGAATTAATTTAAATTACATTGTCACCTTATGGGGCCCCTTGTTTGTCTACAGTATGTACTGTATTGTACTATGTTGACATTCAGAGAGAGTGTGCTGTATATATACTGTATGTCTTCATTATAATGAAGAGGGACTCATTTTTACTGACCCATTAAGTTGACCTTTCTGCGGACAGCATCCAGCTTCTCCTCCAATTTTGTGGGCATGATTGAGACCTTGCAGGCATCAACGACATAGACCACACAGTGGATCTTGTCCTTGAGCCTTGGAGACTTACGATAGCCGTGGGCCTCCGAATACAGAGGAGCAGAGGGGTTGAACTGAGTAATGCAGATGAGGGGAAACACAGACAGTTTGAGTGAACTACAACCAAATCAATGAATCATACATTTAATATCCTGTTCAATGTAACAAAAAGCTGCACCTGGTAACGGTCTGGCAGATGACCTTTAAGGATGCTGCTGATGTCATCGATCTCAAGCCCCGCCGCTCTGCTTTCCTCCAGTCCCATGGTATCACACAAGATGATTGGCAGAGATTTCCCATCTCGCCCAGCTTTCACTGAGAAGGTGCGAAACTGCAGAGAACAAAGAGAGAACAAAATGGAGCAACACAAGGACAGGACTTTCATTTTGAAACCAGTCACCACAAATGTAAACCATTAAGAGGCAGGAAATAACCTGTGTTGTGAGGCTGGTGGTAGAGGAGCCAGCGATGGCCTGACTGGTGACGTGGCCTCTGAATACAGAGTTGAAAGAATTGAAGAAACTGGACTTTCCAGCTCCAACTGGTCCAATGAGCAGAACCCGAGCCTGGGACACAGAGCTGACTGTGGGTTTGTACATTTTAATACTCTCCATCAGCTCCTTCTTGTTCCTATAGAAACAAGAAAAGAAAAGTTCTCATCTAGTGATAAAGTTGTTTAATCCTGGTTGTTCAGAAGACATTTTATGTACAGCCAGTTTACCTCTGTGATGCTTTCATGGTTGCGGGTAAATTTATGACAGTTAGTAAAGAATTGTACATTTTAAAACTGTATAGCACAATGAGCAAGGCAAACAATTTGATCACATAATATTTTCCATAGACACTAAGTCTATTATAATCTAAAATAGCTGGTATAGCTTGTCCAGCGAAGCACAGCATCATCACATGTCATGGCATGTGAAACATATTAATTTTGTTCTACAGTACACAATATATTGTCCTATAGTAAAGCATGTTAACAGCATTATGTGAGGGTTGGTGGCTCTATCCATCTTACTGAGATTCCCAGTTTATAGTCCTCCATGGCCTCTCAAGTTCTGTGGTTTCTGTTGAAGAGCACAAACAACTTTTATAAAAACGACAATGATCTTTCAAATTTGATTAAAAAAACACCTACACAACTTTTTTCTGTTATAAATATCACACGGTATATTTTATGACATTGATGATCAACGTCTTTATTGCCTGTTTGAGTAGTCTTACACACATGGAACAGTGCATAAATGTCACCGGATGAAAGTTCAACACTACCTGATCTGTAGTATTAAAGTGTAGCTTTAAAAGTAGCAGTGGTGACGCACAGTGAGGCAAAGAATGAGGAGTGACAACCATACAAACCTCTTGTAGGCCTACAAAGTGTGGGTCATGGATGACTTCTTTTTGTTGAAGGGTGGGAGATCTAAACTTTTGGAGGACAGCAGGAGGGTCTATTAACTTTTTCCTGATTAGGGTTGGGTACCGTTCATAATTGAACCGATACGGTACCGTTTTTTTTTTTCAGGACAATCTGGGCTAACCAGATTTGCCATCATTCCATGTTCTTCTAAGTGCCTGTATTTTATATTAATTTTTATATCAATGAAAAAAACAAATCCTTGTGACTAAATTCTTACATTTTTACATGTATCTCAGCATAGCAAGTTGGAAGTTGACATATTCTACCATATATGAAGAGGGGAGACTCTCTGGAATCTGGCAATATAAGAACCATGATGCTGGGACATTCTGTCACTTCACAGCTGTCCAAAACATGTAGTTTGTGCCAGGCGGACATGATTGCCAGTATTTTTTCATTATTGCAAGAAATTCCATTGACTCATTCACAAGTCAAAAATGTGTTTTATCTGAAAGAAACATGCAATATTTACATCTAAGATAATAGAAAAATAGTCAACCAAGTGCAATGATATCCTCCAAGATAATGATGCGTGTGGTCCTGCGCTTTCATGTGATATGCGTGGCATTTCTGTGCGAGCCTGCATTCGCGAGTAATCCATCCAACAGTAATGTGTGTGCAGAGCTGTATGAAAGCTCTGTTATACATCATTTTATTGTAACTTTACCATTTTTTTTCGCTGTGAAAACATTGGATTACCGACGGGTGTGAATTTGGACGCACTATGCGTCTGGCCCATAGTCTAAACTTCTCAGTTTCAACATTTTATTGAAAACATTTAGCAACAGTGCTGCACGTTAACTTTTGTCTGCAAATTTTTTTTTTCGCCATTGTTGCTGAGTCTGAGGTGCGAGTCATGCGCTCTCGCTCCGCCTCCACCTCAGGTACCGAAATTTGGCACCGATTCATTTTAAGTGAATCGGTACTCAGTAGTACCAACATGAATCGGTACCACGTACAAAAAGTACCGAGTTTCGGTACCCAACCCTATTCCTGATACAGTTTTATTTCATTCTTTTCTTGTAATATTTATTGCAAATAATTGGGTGATATGTGCTTATCTGCATATTCAGCTGAAATGGTCCAATATCCAATACTAGTGGCCATAGTTGGTAGGGATGCATATAGCCAGACACATCATGAACTATATCAGAATAAACGTGGATTTGTCAAAACAAAGCATCAAAGTCAAAATATGGCAAATAATAGTGAACTCACCCTCGACTTCATAGACTTCACACTCAGTCAGGTTCAGGTCGTTGCCATGCATTTCTGCAGCATTGAAGTTGTAATAACTTCCTGGATTGCTATAGACAACTGCTTTGCTTCCATTAACAAGAACCAACGCTTCTCCAAAATATGGACCAGAGTTGGCTATCATTCTCACTGCATTAGCGGGGCCAGTAACTGGATATTTGAGGAGCCTTTCTCCTCTGAAGGTGAAAAGAAAGGCCTGGTCATCATGCACGTACTGTCCAGACTGAGTGAAGGGTTGTTGGGTGTAGCCTCCAAACACATAACCGGAGGCGTTATAGCCCACAGACACTGTGGGACCACGCTGGTCACATTGTTGGTGGAAGGCTGCGCCGGTGAAACCATGGATGCTGGCCTTGTACAGCAGCCGTAGTTTCACTCTCCCCAGCTGGGAGCAGATTGTTTTCTGCTGGCTCCTGGTTAGCATGGAGTTCATAGAGGGCAGCTGATGTGCTAAAGTATATAAAAGATGTGAATGAAATTGTGGTGTATGAATAAAAAAAGAACCACAGATGGATAAGAAATGAGTGATATCTAGACTAATTGAGCTTGGTTAACCCTCCTGGATGTTACAAACCAATAAAACCATTGATAAAATCATTATAAAACTACATTACAAAAAAACTTTCAAAATCAGGGATTAAAGAAACATTGCAACAACAAAATGACAAACTATACTTTAAATAAAGGTCAGAGTTTACTGCCCCTTTACAAATGTATGTTCTGGTACTGGGTGGATCAGATGAATGGTGAAATTACTTTATATTCCTATATGAATGTTTTGATTAAAGAACTGTGTTTAGCCACAAAGCACATGCCAGCTGATCCACTTGCTCCTGTCATCAAATGTATTATATACTTCAGGAGTAAAAAATACTTTTCACTGTGTCAAAGTTTAAAGCCCCCACCTGTAAAGAGAAACACCACCTAAATTAGGAGTTCCAATTTATTATGTCAGTGGCCTGGGAACGTTTCATAAACACTTGTGAACATAAGCTACTCTCTCTCAAAGCTAGAAACCAGAGAAGAAAGTCTCAAACTTTTGATGTCGTCAAGTATCAAGTGTGGAGCTGCTTCATAGACAATGAATGGGAGCCTGATTTTGTGAACCCACAGAATGTCTGTTTTCTTGTTTTTACCCAAATGAGCTTTATTTTATTGTAGTTTTCTCAGGAACAGAACATGTACCTATATACTCAGAGCAGTCCTCTGGGTGCCCTCAGCGTCATCCAGAACATCTTTTCCAATTCACTGTCTATGGAGCAGCTCCAGACTTTATACCCTATGACATTTTATGTCGACATAAATTGTCATAGGGTACAGTTTATGGCGATAAAAGAGGAAAATGAAGGCATCCTGAGAAGAGTGTTCTGCGACTGGGAGAATGAGATAGATACCCTTAATGCTGAGCAATTGATTTTGCACTGTAAATTTGACCAGAGGTCAATTTTTGATTTGTTTCAATGTCTGATGTTGGATCGCTCTACATTGAGAAACTGTGCTCTTCAAGCCCTGTTACAATTAATGATTGCCTTGCAATTTTATACAATGGGATCTTTCCAGTTAGTCATTAAGGCCCCCACCAATCTGCTGAACACCATAGTGAAGTTCCTGTCCCAAACAGGTAGACTATGCTACCACAAGCGCAAGTGCAAGCAAACAAATGGTCTCCATGGAAACAGTAGAATTTTCCTGATGTAAAATCTTTCAGTGCAGTAAATGCCTCTTTCCTTGACTGAGGAAACCTTCTGAAGAGATTCTGTGCCACACCCCTGAGTAACTTCCTCAGCCAAGGAAAAATTAAACCTTAAGTGCCATCCTTAAGTAGCAAACTTATGGTGCTTTGTACAACCAGCCCCAGCGCTCTAGTATAGAGTGTCTGAAAATGGACATAGTTCCCCTTCAATGTTCTTATTCTTCCTTTGATATAAATCTGCTTGAAAATCTTTACTCAAGTCAAATGTCCAACGGTTAACAAAAATGTGTAAAATAAAATGGTCTTTTAATTTACTAAAGGTTGCTCCTGTATTCCTCCTCAGATTGTTTCTCAGTTGTATCCCTCAATTTTATGCAACATGCAAAATTAAGAATTTTACTTAAAACATTGAAAGTCCTGCATTTTTTTGGCTTTCTTGGCACAGATTCAAACAGAAAACATAATAAGTTACTGTCAGACTGACAAAAAGGAATTTCCCAGCTTGATGTTGGGCAGAACAGGACAACTTTCCACTTCCTGTCTGACTGACAAAGAAAATATTTGCCACATTCTCATTAGTACCAACTGTAGTCCGAGGATACTGTTATACTGATACAATTATGTTAATGTGTTAGTGTTTTATCCAGCATCAGGTCAATTAACATCTCTTCACTGGTCGCCGATTGATTTTAGAAATGTTTATAGATCTGATTAATTTCACTCGTGGCTTCCACCAGAGGTGAACTGTTAGATCTGTTGTTTTAGTCCTCAAGTCAGGTTAAAGTCAATAAAGGTGTGTGACGGGAGCCAGCTTCTGGGGTTAGATATTAAACCGGACAAAGTCTTTCCAATGAATAACACAACAGAATTATACAACAGAACTATGTAGCAGCTGTGCCACACTTTCAGTCATAAAAATCAATACATCATTAAAAACCCCACGCCTATAGGCCTGGCGTACATTAAAGGTTGAAAAAACCCAATGGCTACACTTCAATGTTATTTATATCATACTATACTAATATTTTTGGCCTTACCTCCTTATCTTCTTGTTGAGAATGGTGACTGATGGCCAGCTCTGACGCTGTGTAGGAACGCTGGGCAAATGCAGTGGTACACATTCACGATGCCAAGCTGCTCGAAAAGAAACGAAACTGAAAGTAGGCTTTGCTGACTGGAATGATTTTGCCTTCAAAATAAAACTAGTGTTTGTCTCTGAATAAAGCAGTTAACAGTATCCTCAATCTGATGTAAAAGTCCCTTACATTTTTAAAGTCTGTGCTCAGTGCAGCATCTTTTAGTTTAAAACAAATTCACCAGGATCAAACATGATGTTGTCAGTGGTGTTAACCTGGCACACAAGTCTCTTATTTTTTGAGGCTTGTTCATACAAGTGGTACAAGTATAAACTGGGGTTTCAAGTTGCATTCGCCAAACTATAATAATAATAAATCAAAATAAATGGCCAATTTCAGCCCAATGAGTGGCACCTGTTCATGAGAAAGACCACACTTCTCATGAGATTTTATCATTAGTATAAAATGACCCCAAATACGGCTATTTGTTCATAACAACAGGTTACTACTGCTCAGTGCACAGTTTCAAGTCCTGCAGCCTCAATCAGCAATTGTAAAACAATTAGAAAATAGGCTACAAAATGCAACTGCCAAGAAAAATGAAGATTGCTGTAACTGAAATGTATTTTTCCTCTTACCTGTGGTGCTATGCATTTGTTAGTTTATGATAAGTTCCTAAATGAAACTGCTCACAGCAAGATCTGAGGATTTTCTTGTCATGATTTCTGGAAAAAGACATTGCTTTTGAGTTTTTAATATTCTTTCTAAATAAAGTTATTGTAGATGCTACTGATGATATGGAACGAGTTTGAAAAAGTCAAGTGGTCCATAAAGGAAGGCAATCAAAGAGACATGACAGTCATGGAGATGTATGACAGAATACTGTATAATACAGTATTGTCTATCATTAGAGAGGATGTTCACCTGGAGAGCTACGTGCATTAAGATCCTAAAGGAAGCCTTTCAGAGTGAGAGATGCCAATAAAAACATACAATCTAAAATAAAGTTGTTGAGCTTCACAGTAAAGGGGCCAGCCATGATGATGCTATTGTGAACAGAATACTGATTTTGCAACTTATTTAGTTGATTTGTTACCTGATCACAGGTATTATGATTCTTGTTTCAAACAAGGATTTTTCCCCCTGTGGAGAAAGGCAGGCTGTCTGTGCAGTACATCAGTAGCATGACAGGTCCAAACATACCTACAGAAAAGGGAAATTCTGATTATAAGAAAACTGTTGAATGCAGCGAGCCTTCTTGCACCACTGGTACATGCCACTCAAGAATGATCCTGTTTGTAAATATGTGCCTTGCATGAGGCCCATTGCCCTCCATTTAAAAGACAAACCAAGCTCACAAGTAAAATATCTCAGACTTCTGTTTTTATTCTGAATCACACCATTTTGTCCATTACAATCTGATTTCTTTTTTGTAAAAAAAAGTAAAAAAAACATGAGAAAAATCAGTTCAATATGATAGTTTAAATCCTCTATTTGAAACATTTTATGTGACTATACTGTAGCTTAGTTATTACCACCAGGAGGCGCTAAAGTCAGAAATGTTCAAACCCCACACACAAAATTCCCTCCTCCAAATGTCAACGATGACTTTCTTCATATTGTCTGAAAGACATGTTTCAAAAGCTCAGAAATGTATGTTTAGATTATCTTTGGCCCTGCATCTTGTGGTGTATTGTCCTGGAAATACAGGTCAGCATACTGCAGGATGTGGTCGACAGCACTAAGCAGAAGCACGTCAGTGTCCTGGTCCAGGTCCAGCTCTGACGAGTAGTTCTTCACTGGGACGATGTAGGAGGTGGACATACCCAACAGATCTCCTGCTTTACTCATCTACAAACACACACACACACACACCACCATCAGTATTCAGTTCCTTCAGCTGGTTGAGAACAATGCCAGTCGTAGTTCCTCATATTTGAAAATGTTTCTCAGCCTGTGCCATGATAAACAGTTACTAGGGCCAGGTATTGGTACTCGATACCTCTAAGGTATCAAACAAATTAACCCAGTACTGAGTACATCGAAACGTCTCCAGTCAAATGATACCGACGTTTTCCTTTTTGTACTGGTGAAGTCAAGCATGGTCTTGACCTATTTGACAGAGTTAGAAGTTTAGCATGTCAAGATGCCACTAAAATTATGGCTACTGTAAAATTCTAATTAAAAGCTGAGCCCCAATGAAACGCCAAGTTCCTTTTTCTTTGCTACATATTTTGACAAATTTTTTGACAAACAGGTCTCGGTTAGACGCGAAGTCTGGTTTCCATTGACACTGCTAAGCAGTCATTTTTGTAGAAGTTCTTTGGATGTAAAACCTCTTAAAGCCCACTGGATTGTTGGTTACACGCTTGAGCTAGCATTAGTTAGCTGCTTAGATCACTCATACAAAAATAAATGTTGAAACTTTTGTCAATATAAAGATGCTACACATCGTTAGCTTGGTTAAATTCTCCACAATTCAGTCATTCAGCTGATTTGAAGAAAAGATGAGAACCAAAGCAGGTTATAATTTATTTAGATTTAAAGGCAGGAAAAGTGCTGACCGCCTGCCTCTGAAGAGGTTATTTAGTCTGAATGTGTCCATTCCTCGTTTATTTATATTCCTTTAGACCGTAAGGGTCCACTGATCAAAAGAACCAAAATGGGGTTTCATAAAAATTAATCCAAGTTGTTAATATAGTTTTCAGAAGATAAAGAGTGATCTTGTGTCAGTATGCAGGGTGCCATAATCCTCTGGTGCAGCAAGACAAGCTTCATAACGTTCTCTTTTCCACCCTATCTGTCTTTCTCTTGCTGTCTCTGATGCAATGTTGGAGCTAGAACGTTTCTTAGTTAATATGTTATGAGATAGCCCAGTTTTTTTTACAAAACAAATATTCATACTGGTTGAAATAAACAATTTAAGATTAGTGTATTCAGTTCAGTGATTGAAGCAAATCAAAGCTCAGGCTGTAAATTAAAGTTTTGCAGTATACTACACACCACTACAGTCACATTATAGGTATCAAATGAAGTACTCAGTTGGCATTGGTTTCGCTTTAAGGGTACTGGTATCTTAATATTTTAAATGATACCCAGCCCTAATAGTTACAGACTATGACTTGTGTTAACCTCACTGCTCCAAACAAAATTGAATGTATTGGAATGGCAGGTAAATAGACATCAGTCCAATAACCATCAGGCTCGTCTGAGATGGACTGACACAAAGTGGAAAAATGTGCTGTGGTCTGACGAGTCCACATTTCAGATTGTTTGTGAAAAAGAGGAAAAGCCCTATCCAGACTGTTACCAGCGCAAAGTTCAAAGCCAGCATCTGTGATGGTATGGGGGTGTGTTAGTGCCCATGGCATCATGGGTAACTCTGAAAAAATGGGGTGGTCACCTAGTAGTGACGATGTTTCCAGCCACCACTCTTCATCAGATGGCTTGAAACGTCGTCACTACTAGGTGAAATAAATCTCACTAAATAGGAGCCCTGCAATGTGCAAGCTTTTTTCATTTTTTCAGTTTCAGACATTTTTGGCTCAGCACCTGCACAATTTTGTTTGTGGATGTGCGTGCTTTTTCATTGTATCATGGGTAACTCTCACATCTGTGAAGGCACCACAAATGCTGAAAGGTACATACAGGTTTTGGAACAACATATGCTGCCATACAGACGTCTTTTTCAGGGAAGTCCCTGCTTGTTCCAGCAAGACAATGCCAAGACACATTCTGCATGTTTCAACAGCATGTCTTCGTAGTAAAAGAGTGCAGGTACTAGACTGGTCTGCCTGCAGTCCAGACCTGTCTCTCATTGAACATGTGTGGCACATTATAAATCACAAAATATGACAACAGAGACCCCGAACTGTTGAGCAGCATAAGTCATAAATCAAGCACGCAGGGTTATTTACTGATTGTTGAAATAAAAGGTGATGTCACACAGTGGTTAACATGTCCCTGTCCCAAATTTTTTGAAACATGTTGCAGACATCAAATTTATAATGAGCATATATTTACAAAAAACATTAACGTTTATCAGTTTGGACATTAAATCACCTGTCCTGGATTCAATTGAATATATGTCAAATATAATGTAGAAATCATTGTAATTGGTTTTCATCTGAGTTTTACACAGCCTCCACACTTTTTTGGAATCAGGGTTGTAAATACCCCGTTTATTCTGTATCTACATTTTAACTCATGTACAGCAGCAGTGAAAACAAATTCTATCATCCAAGCCACTAAATGAAAAAATAAAGTGCTAGTATCTCAAACTGCAGATGACTTATTCAACCTACCGTGTCGCGAATGATGTGGCTCTTGTAAACCTGAGTGACATCTTTGGCTGTTTCTCGACATATTTTGTCTATGTGGGTCAGCAGAGCCACCTGGTGGACACCTAACAGACAGAATACATTGCTCTCATGAAGGTTTCACAGGAATAAAACCGTTTTAATTGTTACATCCAGAAGAATAAATTACTGACAGTTATGATTTTAACAAAGCTTTCATTCAGTTGATCAAGCCCAAAGTTGTGATGCACACTGGTCCCTCTGCGATTCAAACCACAGCAAAAGCCAAAAAAATTAGATAAAAATAAAATAAAGAGAGGTCAGTGAAATCTTAACGCAATCTAAAAAACAAAAATATAAAACAACAACAAAAATAAATTCAAAAAATTAAATAAATGCATTAGGGTTAAAAGTAACAGAAGTACAGGTCTGCCACCATGATTTAAAAAGTCAAAGCCCATTTTGTCTGCCAAGGCACTTCAATCTGTGCGTGAAAATGTCTTTGTGTTTGACTGCTAGTTTGTCCTTTGTTACCCAGGTCACTGATGTGCTCTCGGAGATGCTGGAAGGTGATGCTGAAGCGTTTGGAGTAGGTCAGGATTTTAGAGGCGTCCACCACAAAGGCCACACAATGGATCTTGTCTTTGAGGCTTGGCCTCTTCACATAGCCCACAGTCTCAGACCTCACTGGCTGATCTGGGCTAAACTGGGAAACAGAAATTAAGATATTGAACTGTTAACAAAGAAAAACTATAAAACCCAAACAACTAACTAAATCCGTGCTAATGTTTGCTAAATGGCACTAAACACATTGCATTACTGAGGCTGACAAGAATGTCATTAGTTTAGCAGGTAGTTAGTTGCAAGTCAAAGTAATGTATTGGGAAAAAACAGAAATTTTGACCTGAAGGTGGCACTAGAAGAAAAGTCAGAGGATCATTAGGTCTGTACAAACTTTTGTGCCAATCTGACAAGTGGTTGTTGAGATATTTCAGTTTGGACCAAAGTAGAGGACCAAACAACCAAACAACAGAGCGACATTGCCATCTTTGGAGCAATGCTGCTAGCGTAGCTAAAAACCACAATATTACAATATTGATCCTGCTTACCTTGTGTCCCTCAGGTACATGACCTTTAATGACAGACAGGATGTCATGGAGGGTCAGTCCGGCCATCTCTTCACCCCCCAGTCCAACAATATCGCACAGCACCAGTCCAGTAGGATCCTCTCCCTTCTGACCATGGATGTTGAAGGACTGCAGCTTACACACACACACACACACACACAAGAAGGACGTTGGTGTCATTCAATAACTAACTTTGAGATGGGAGTTTACCAACCTCATGACAACCAGTCAAATTCCATTCACAGACAAAGACCATGAGATTGAAAGCCAGTAAGTGGACATTGAGTTAAGATGTCTTTGTCAACCTTTGAATTAATTTTGTATGACATAATATTTTACAAAAAAACAGTATTAAACAGTATTTCCCCATTTCTAGAAAACCAACAATGATTATCAGTTAATTCTGTCCCCACGTCCATTCGAAGAGAATGTCAACAGTTTTAGTGATTTGCCTCGGTTACATGCTCCACTTGTACCTTCTTGGTGAAGCTGGTCGAAGAGGAGCCCACCATGGCCCGGTTGGTGACTCTTCCATTAAACACTGACTGGACTGAACTGACAAAGCTGGACTTTCCAGAGCCGACCGGGCCCAGGAGGAGAACCCGAGCCTGAGTCCCCTCGTCACAGCTCTGCCTGTAGGAGCTGACAGTCTTCATCAGGCTTGTCCTCTGCCTAGATTAAAATTTGAGATACTTTCTATTCAGAATAATTTCAATAAAAAATAAAGGCATGGGAGGAATGTATTCATTAAATGAGCTGAAGGAATAATAATTAAAGGACAACATTCATAGTGTTTAAAATGTGTTTTCTTGTTGCTTTAAATGAGCAGAACCATATTAATTTGACTGCTGTCTGAAGTGTTTGCAAACTCGACTTGAATGTCAAAGTTTTACTCACTCTTCTGTCCACTCCACGTCTCTCCATGGAGATTCCAATGTTCCTTGAGCTCCTGAGGAGAGTTTCAGAGTTCATAAGGTTTATTGAAATATCCAGTGTTTCTTATTTTTCACTTCTTATGTCTTCTATCTGCAGTCAAACAACTTGTCTCTGTACTTGTTAGATCTTAGTGCTGCATTTGACACCACTGACCATCACATCTTACTTGTATTACAAAGACTAGAACATTTAAATGGCATTAAAAGACCTGCACACAGCTGGTTTAAGTCCTTTAAAATCAGATTGAACCTAGTTTGTACATGATAATAATCCTTAATGCACACCAAAGTTAGTCATGGAGTTCCACAAGGTTCGGTGATTGAACCAGTGCTATTCACCCTATGGGCCCTATTTAGATGGTCTAAAACGCGAAGCCCCAGGCGTGCGGCGCATGGGCGTGTCCCAGTCACTTGCCAGTTAGACAGCGCGTTTTTAGACTGTGCGCCATGGCGGAGAGTCTAAAAGGGTTGGACTTACTCTGTGAATTAGTCATGGGTGTGTTTTGGGCGCATCACTCAATAAGCCAATCAGAGTGTCACCTCTCATTCCCTTTAAAAGAGGCACGATTGGAGCGCATGGCGGAGAGCTAGTTAGATGGCGGACCTACCAACTGGAAAGAGTGAGCGTTTTACAGCTGAGGAGACGGATCTCCTCGTGCAGGAGGTGAAGGCCCGTCAGAACCAGATCTACGGGGACAGCAGACAGGCACCCAAGCTCCCCCAGGTAAAGCAGGCGTGGGATCACTAATACAAGAAAGATCTTACTAAATATCTGTGGAATATTATTCAAACCTGTTTTCATCATATAACAGAGCACAGCTGTCAGGACTGCCGCGGAGCTCCCCAAGGTGCTGATCCTGCAGCTCGGACCTGTTCAGCTTTTTCTCCCCCACCCACGTTTGTTAATTGTTTTTACATGTTTCCTAGAGCTGTGTTCTGCCTCTCATTTGCATGTGTGTCCTCTATACACTCAGATAACAATATAATAATATAATATAATGTAGCCTAGTATAACATTTTAAAATAAATGCAATGTGTGGGCTTTGGTTTTCTATCAAAAAAATGATTGATTGGTCAGATAATTTCACAATTTCATTTGTCATTATTACAAAGTATCCATCCATCCATCCATCTTCTAACCGCTTCATCCTCTTGAGGGTTGCACGGGGGGGGGGACATGACTCCCCCTTCAATAAAGCTGCACCCCCCTAGAATAATTTGAGACACAATTAATAATTTTTGAACAATGCAGTAGTATTTATTAAAAGCACAATGTAAGTGGGGCTCATTATAATCGCGCAATAATGTGCTATTTAAATCTTAAAAGATTTAGTCCCCCCCCTCCCATTCCTAGTAGTGGTATATCCCACACTCTTTCCAACAGGCGGGGCTAGCAGCCGTTAGTACTTGGCAGCAGTTGCAGCGTGTGGCTGGACCTGGCTGCCCACATTGCGCGGGGTAAGATGTACTCTCGCAGATACAGTTTAACTTACACAAGTTACAACACATCCCATTTACTGTTACAACAAGCCCCAGGCCCAGGCTGATAATATAAACTGTCTGCAACATTTTTCCTGCATTGTTCAAAAGACAGAGTTTAGTGATAGTCAGAGAGGACAGGAGAGAAAGAAGAGGGAGAGGACAGGACAAGAGCAGTCAGGGACGGAGCGGCTCGTAGTTAATATCTGTAGGCTCTCCACCTGTCAGTGAGACAAACATGA